GACTCTGCTTGTGTTCCCACCATGGAGATTTCTGTAATATGAGCTTGGCGGCACGGCAATGGGAGAAATATGGGAGATGAGACATGGCGTCTGATGCGGCGCGATAGTCGTCTGGTGTAGGGCACAGTGCGGACCCATTCACGTGGTCAGTGCAGATGGGAGGATCCAGTGCTCCACTCTCAATCTCGAGGCAGGAAGACGTCACTCGGACTCACTTCCTGCCATTATCATCCATGTCAATTTGGCCTAAGATGCATTGAATACTGCGTATGGAGTACATGAGGTAGCGTACTCGCTGTACAAGCTTCAACAGTATCAATATCTCTTGTCAACTGTGATCTCTGAGAACCCCCTATCGCGCCCCATCTCTCGAGCCCGGCCTCTTCTTAACCAGGACGGGACGGGCTAATCTCACCGGGAAATCCACCCACACACCCTTCCAGGCCTCTTGCTCTCTCTCTCTCGCTCGGTGGATGTTCTCTGTTGTAATTGTATCCATTAGCTCGCTGCTGTTCGTAGCACCCCCAGTCTCCGTCCTCTCTTCCATGATCCATCCTCTCTCTCTCTCTTTCTCTCTCTTACTGCGTAGGTAGTCTCTCAGTCTCCGTTCCCTTGAAGCTGCGGCCCCCCAGCTTCATCTGCACCTGTAGACACGGGCCAGCCCCTGGCCCCCCCAGTAGACCCCATCCAAGTGTTGCTTTCAAAGGCAAATCATCTCGCTTGTGCCTTTTACGCTCTTTCAGCCTCTGATACGTCGTGCTCTTGAGTCTTGCCAGTCTTTCTCACCTCTCACCATCCCCCCGGGCCCTTGGCTGCCATCTGCTCTCTTCCTCTTCCTCTCGCCGCCGACGCCTTGTCTTTTTACTGGCCATACGGGTTGTTAGCTTTGCTTTTTGGCTCTACTGCTCTATTGCTCTCGTTCTTCCTCTCGCTCTCTCGCTTACCCTTTCTCTCACTCTCCCATCTGTCCCATCCTCTCTTTCACTAACCCCCCCTCCCCCCCGATTTTCCAATCTCCTTGCACGCCTTGCCGTTGCTCCATTCTTCGTCCCTCGTCCTCTTTCACGCATCATCAAACTCGCCAAACTTGTCGTTTCCGACTTCTTCGGCCGGCCTCGTCCCCCCAGAAAATATTCGAGCGATATTCGATATCTACCTCTTTTTTTCCTCTTTCCAAAAAGGCCAACCCATTCACTTGTTACCAGCGAACCTTAATTTCTTCCGCGACGTACCTTGCTATTCCCTGCAACCGCTCGCTCGCTTTCTTCTCGCCCACTTTTTTCCCATCTGATTCGAGCACTACCACCGCCAACCATTACGACCTTGCCTTGGGACCGACTCCAACTGACACTGGCCGCCGTAGACCATTGCCCCCCCAGGCCCAGCCACTTTGCCTCTCGCCCACCTAGTCATTCCATTGGCGCCGCTTCTTGCGCGACTGAGCCCAAACCATCTTCCATTCTCCGCGTTCGACCGACAACCTCACTGGGACGTCGCCTTTCCTCCTCTTCCATTCCATCCATCGCTCACCCGCGTCGATCTTTTACTTTCCGACAATTTTCCTTCACCTCGGACCGCGTGACGAGCTTTGCGAATCGGCCTTTTACGGCCGACAACAGCTCAGTTAAGGGGTTGAGGATTCTGGGAAGGCTTGCCGGACCCCAAGAAGAAAGGAGGTGAGTGACGACACTCCATTTTCAACTCTGCTTCAGCACTCGACGCACCCTGTCTGCCATCAATCTCGTGCTCGCGCGACACACCGCCTCACCGGGGGAAGAGGCATGTTCGCTCGTCTGTTGGTTCCGACCCACGTTCACGCGCACCGCTTGCTCCGTCTCGGACGCCCACAAGTTGACGAACACGACCTCGGTCATGTCTTAGACCTTGGAATGAGAGGCAGAGGCGGTAGTGTCATGATTGATCTGAATGTGCCCACTGGTGCTCGCCAGCCCCTCCTGGGCATCGTCGCTTGATTCATGCAGAACCGTTGGTCTTGCTTTGAACGTCTTGGCTAATCACCTCCCTGCTCTAGCTCGACAGCATCATGTCCGAGAGACCACAACCATCCAACCCAGACGAAATCACACCACAGATTCAGCAAAACGGCCAATCGAGTCAAGAAATGTCCAAAGAAAAGGTGCTTCTGGCGCCAGAGGAGGGTGGAAATTCAAAGAAGGGTAGGGGCTTCCTGCATGTACCGTCTCGGTCTTCCTCGCAGCGCAATCAATCCTCTCCCACGTCGACAGGGCTGAGCGGAGCAACAGTCAGCGATTCTAGAAACAGCATCGGCGGACGTTCGAAAGAGTCCAAGGGTAGTTTTCTAGGACGCCATCGAAATGGCAGCGTCGGCAGCCACAGATCCGGCATCGAAACCGAGCCCACCAACACCCCCGGCAACACGCAACCGAATTCTCCTGTGAACCCCCCTCAGAAGAAGAAGAAAGGAGGTCTCTTCGCCCTGCTTGGGTGCTGCGGTGTACCCGACAACGCGAACGCGATTGAGAACGGCGACGACGCCGTCCATAAGCTCGACAAATTGCCCGCGAGACCAACGACCGCCAAGTCTCGACAGCCCACCCCGCAGGACCAACAACCCCCTTCGAACAAGCCGCAAATCCAGGAGAAGCAGCCGCAGCCCGAGCAGCCAATGACAGCAACCGAGGCCAAAGGCAAGCGTGTGTCTGGAGCAACCACTGTCGATGATTCTACTGTTGGCGGAGAAGCTGGCGAATCCAAGCAAAACGTCGTCAGCAATGCCGGAGCTAGCAGTGCCGCGCCCGCGATTACGGTAGAGTCGACCACTGGAGAAAAGACCAAGGAGGCGCCAGTGCTGGAAGCAGACAAGAAGGATGCCGAAGGAGACGAGGCGATGCCCGATGCGACTCCCGAACCCGAAGAGAAGCACCAAATACCGCCCCCGGTAGAAGATGCGCCAACTAGCCAGCAGCTGCCGCCCCCTCCTCCGAACCCGCCCGTGTCAGCTCCTATCGATGAGGCCGTTCCAGAGCAAAAGTTCTTGCTGCCCCCCATTGCGCCTGAGTTCAAGGGCAAGAAATGTCTCGTGCTTGATCTGGACGAGACCTTGGTCCACAGTTCATTCAAGGTAAGCATTGAAACTGACTTTCGGCCCTATTCCACAAAGATACTCACAAATCTGCAGATTCTCCACCAAGCCGACTTCACTATTCCCGTTGAAATCGAGGGCAATTATCATAATGTCTATGTTATCAAGAGACCAGGCGTGGATCAGTTCATGAAGCGCGTTGGCGAGCTTTATGAAGTGGTGGTCTTCACTGCGTCAGTCTCAAAGGTGAGACCGTCCCCCTGAGCCCATTACTTTTGTTTGTGTGCTAACCCATCTCAAGTATGGCGACCCGCTGCTAGACCAGCTTGATATCCACAAGGTCGTTCACCATAGACTCTTCCGCGAGAGCTGCTACAATCACCAAGGAAACTATGTCAAGGATCTTTCCCAGGTGGGAAGAGACTTAAAGGACACAATTATCATCGACAACTCTCCCACGTCGTACATTTTCCACCCCCAGCACGCCGTTCCCATTAGCAGTTGGTTTTCAGACGCGCACGATAATGAGCTGCTGGACTTGATTCCCGTTCTAGAAGACCTCGCAAAGTCGGATGTCCAGGACGTCAGCCTGGTTCTCGACGTTACACTTTGAAGCTAAAGATACCAATTTCTTTTCTTCGTTCATCACCTCCGAAGAAATCTGCAGGACCGCGTGTCCCATCATAGCGGCAGGCGTTTGGGTTGAGATGGTTCGTTTCCAGCAGGTGTAGATGTATCACTGTCTAATCTTACCTTATAATGAGCATGGTGGAGGTACCAGACCACTGAGCCAGCTCACGGCGGCTTTCACGCAGCAAAGCTCGATGGCCGCATTTCAAAGGACCGCGAGGATGACAATTTCCATCAAAGAACCTCGGGATCGGAAAGGGAAAAAAAGTCAGGGCACTTTGGAGCTTGGGATGGCCGAACTGGGGCAGCTGGGGCATTTCTGTCACCTGGTGCTTCTTCGTCGGCATTGTTCGAATAATGCGGTTGAGGAACCCAACGAAAGATACCTGTTTATCGAAGACCAGTCATCATGAAGAACAAAAAGGCGGCTAGGGATACCATGGGTCCTCGTGTTGGAATCTCAAGGGGATGATGCCCTCTACGTGGCAGGATTTTGTTTTCCTTTTGTTCATTTTCTATGTCTGAATCGTACCCTCCACCACCACTACTACCACTACCCCCATACTACCACCTTTCTCCGGGAGTCTGCAAGCAGACATTTCATCTTCCTGCTTTTATAGCCGGCAATTGTCGATAAGGAGAGCGCTGTTGCAGGAAAGCGTTGCGTTGTGTTGTATTTCACCATGTGCTGCATAAGCTGGCGCCGTCAGATGGAAGCTTTCAGCTGCAGAGTGCGGCTGCTTCCTAGATACACAGTACCCTCAAATTCAATTGAAAGCATTAACAAGGTTCTCAGTGCATAACCGTATTTTTTTGAAGCGCGTAGTGAAGGGAGGGAAAGCATGTGCTACGACGAATTACCGCATCTGCATCTCGCAAGGACAGGATGACCATGTGTGCCATAACCTTAGGTGGTGAACTTGACTGGTCGTGCCAGGATTAGGGGCCCAGTGGAGTTTCTGGGAGCCGCTAGCCCGCTATGCTGAGCAGCCACCCATTAAGGTATGTTCGCCGCCCCAGGGGGGTCTGGAACGTCGGGTCGGAAAATCCCCTGGGCGGCGCCCAGCTGGTCCCCTTTCCAAAACTGTGGCCTCAACTCTGCCACTTTTGAGCGCAGGTGCACCCCCGACCCTCTAGAGAGCTCGAGTTCCCATCATCACGCCCTTCCGACCGACCATCCACATCCCACACCACCCTCTCCGAACTTCGATTCTTCTTCCCGCGTCGACTTTTCCGAACAAATTCCCCTGGTTTCCGAGTATCCTGCAGCGATCTTGGATCTTGTCCCTCGTCACACTCCTTCACAATGGTTAGTTATTTTCCTTTCCGCGGGAATCGCCAGGCTGTTTCCCCCCGAGCTCCCCCGAGCTCCCCCTTACCGAACTGCATGTGGTGGCTTTACTCTACCATGTCGCACGCGACTCTCTGAGGCATTGAGAACCAGATGCCAGCACTGGAGTCTGCGCCTGATTGTAATCAGTCAATGCGCGCGCGCCACGGCCGCAAGAACTACAGATGAAGCCGAACAAGAGCAAATCGCTGACATTGAAATTGTGGCATCGCAGTCTTCCCCTCGCCCTTCCTCGCCCGTTAACGGAGCCGGCGCCGCCGCCTCTGGCGCCAGCGTCGCGCGTCCTTCCTCGCCCACTCCCCCCGGCGGCCCCAGAACCGCCATCCGTCGCCGCGCGGCTGCCGACCAGAAGGAGAAGATTGCGAATGCGCGGCCGAACAGCACGAGAGCTGCCGGTGCTGGCGGTAGCAGCAGCACCATGCTGAGTACGTTCCCACCCCCATGATGTGTCCCTTAATATCTCAGAGATGGTGTGGTGGATGTTGGAGAAGTGGTTGGAACAGGAGAATTGGAGGAGAAGAAGTTTAATTGATGCCCAAAGAAATGGTTGCTAACGTTTGGATAACCACAGGACTCTACACCGACGAGTCTCCCGGTCTCAAGGTCGATCCCGTTGTTGTCCTTGTTCTTTCCCTTGTTTTCATTTTCAGCGTTGTCGCCCTTCACAGTAAGTTTGACCCATGGACTCATCACTCCTTGAATTGAACAGTAAGCTGACCTAATGGCGCTACAGTCATTGCCAAGCTCACCCGCAAGTTCTCGTCTTAAGCGATTTGAGAAGACACATAGGAGAGATGTAAAAGCTAGCCTTGGATGGAGCCCACGCAGCTTTGTGAGGAATCGCAAACGCAGAGGTGATGCTGCCATAGCCCAGATCGAAGGGATGCCATTGCAACGAGAAAGAAGAGAGGCGTGTCTGCAAAGGCACAGACTGCTTTTGAGATATGCGAGGAGTGGCATCTGACATAAAAAACAACAACACAAAAGCAACCTTTTGACGATAATGGACAATGGAGTGCCTGCTTGTGCTCGAGAGGGGGAGCACTTTGGTTGAAGAGGCTGAAGAGCATGACTGATGCGCGCCGCTGTATTATACCTCTTTTTACATTTTATTACGCTTCTAGTCTAGATAGTTCAACATGACTTCTGGAATCCAACAGTGTGCTGTCCTTGATGAAGAGCGGTTTTTGTATCTCTAAGAAGCCGTAGTCTTCGAATCTTGGCCAGGACAGAGATCTCGAAGTTCCAGCAAGTTCGGTTACGAGCTGGTCCCGACTACCCTTGTGGTGACCCTGAGCTCAATGGGTAGGTGACTGCCTAGGCGAGAAGCTTGATCCACCGTCCCGCAATGGTAACTTAAGAGGTGGAGGCAAGTGATTTGTGTGGTTACAGATACGGAGCAGACGAATTACTTTTGAAGATGATCAATAATCTTCTTGAAGCAGATTTTACTCAGAGGAACCCAACAGGAGATAGAGTCTTCCTGAGGCCTTCCTGAGATAGCAGGAAGCCGTTCAACTGGTGTCGCATGGGGACACGTGAGAGTAAGCCACCTAGTATCCGAACTCATTTTGGGAGGTGACCAGAGACGTTCCGCGTGCGCGTGCCCACGGCAAGGTCCAATAGGAGGAAATGCCCGTCCCCACCAACTCCATATCTCCTTCCCCATATCCTCATTGTCAGCCAATTACCATTCTTTCGTATCTGACTCGCTTGCCCACTCGTGCTATCCACTCGCGCACACAATATTGTTGGTAGATACTTATAGGCAAAATCGCGGGAAGACAGCAACGATTCACCGAGAGCAGCTTAGCTGTCTTCCTCCCCTTGGTGTAGTTGGTTCATCACGTTCGACTGTAATGGTTACATTGTCATCGAAAGGTCTCTAGTTCGATTCTGGAAGGGGAGAACCGAATCTTTTGCAGTTTTCTCGTAGTGGTTTTTGATAGTCCTGACTCGTCTTCCAGTTCCACTTCTTCTCGCGTTTGTACTCGGTGTCTACTTGCTAGGTGTATTGCTCCGTCGCATGTCCCACATCTGCTCTGGTCGTATTTGCCTAGGAATACATGAAGCTATTGACGGACTAGGTATTAGTGACGATAGCTTAGATGTAGGTGATGTATATTTAGCCTATGGAGTCGAAGAGTTTATTGTTGCCTGATTGACCTTTGTGCTGCATTTTCGCACTCTTCACCACCAGTCAATCAATTTGGGGACCTGTTATAACCCGTAAGTTAATCGCGGGCCATACCTACCTACTTATGTAGTACGCCCGTGACGAACCGTCACATAACACTGGTTACACACACTATCAAGAGGCTCTTCCCAACTGTAAAGAGCCATGACTCCCGGTAACCTTCCCATGGGTATGAAATAGGCGGTCGCCTCTCAACACCGTTGACTCTGAGGTGTCTCTTATGACTGTTGCCTCGACGGAAACAACCTCCGAGCTGCCCTGGGACCGGAGAATAGGATCATGACCGTACAGCCAACGCTCCACGCTTCCACGCGGCCCTCAGACCCGGACCTGGACCCTGGACCATCTTTATTTGGTCCCCCTGAAAGTATCCTACCGAGACTACAACTGACCAGCGAACCGGAAGACGACTTATAGTCGCTGCCTAACGGTTAACCCAGGCCTGCTGCTTCGACGTCGAAAGGTTCCTCAATATCTCTACCAGACTAGACATTCTCGTGCCTGAGACGCGTGTTGAATGAGCGGGCCCTCCCTTGTCTTCCAAACCCATCATCTCTTACATAGTCTTGGTCTTGAGTTTTGTGGCTATGCGGGGTTCCAGAACAAGGTCCAGCTGGCCCTCTTCGAAATCGTCCCATCAAAAACATCCCGTCATTGGCTCACCCGATGCCATCTTTCTTGGAGGATCTTCGACGCCTCCTCTCCCCCACGTCCTCAAGCCATTGGACGAATGATGTTGCGGAAGGGAGGTGGACGTCATAGCTCTGTCCCCCCCCCCGTCCCATGGAAATTCAAGCCGGGAGCGCCCCGTGCCAGTCGGCCCAGTCCAGTTCGCTTGAACTGAGGCGTTGAACCTGTTGATGCCACTTTTCGGACGGTTGCGTAGGACGGTGCTCACATGGGCTACCTCCCTCTTCCAGGTTGTCCATTGACTCCATTTGCTTCACCTTACAAGGCAGTGGAGGCCCTGGGAATCTGGGAATCCTGGCGGAGAAGTCGCTAGTGGCCCCCTTATCCGCACCCACCCCACCTCTAATCTGACCCTCGAACCCACTGAAGCTCCAGGGTCTTTCTCACGAGCTTGATCATCTCAGCTTTTGGCTCCGATGATGAAACGGGGCTGAATACTTATGCTGCCCGCCTTCGCTCTAGCACCTCGTTTGTCACTACACCTCTAGATCCTGCCTTCTGACCATTCTCTATTTCCCCATAACCCAACTCAAGAACTATCCTGTTCAGCAATATAATTGTCCATAAGCAAAACTTCCTACCTTGCCACTCTTGCTTGCCCCTCTTTTGTGTCACCAAGCTTGTTGCGCTGTTGAGAAGGCGCCCTTTTCGACCGAAAGCTCTCAAACTTCCGCAGTCCTACAACAACAGCTACCGACATCGCCGCTTCCACCTGCAACCAATCACCTCGTGATGACCTGAACTTTTGGAAACAATCGCAGTAACCCTCGACATCGTCACTGGTCTTCGCACCCCTCGGTTGACGAGTCGAAGAGTTGACCTTCCCCGCAATGACGGTCGTCAAGAACCCAGAAGCGGGCGCGAGCTCGTCTGCCCCTCCCCCGCCACCAAGACGGCCCAGCAATTTGAACCTCGACAGGACGGACAGCGCAGAGGTTCCAGACGCCCTTGTCTCTGACGGGTTCAGCTTGCCTTCGCTAGAGGCCGAGAACGAGGCCCCGCCGGCCTACGGAGACCTTCCCGACCAGCTGCAGTTCAATCAGGCGGGCTTCGAAGCCGGCGCCAATGTTACAGGTAACGTTGAATTCCTACCACCAACACCCACATCACAAGATTCGCTGACGAGTAGTACTAGGGGATGGCCGAGTCAACATCAATATCAACCAGAGTGGCAACCGCCTGGCCGAGATCCTTGCTCCGACGCTACGAAACCAGCTTCTCGCCGACAAGCGACCCCAGGCACCCTTGCCTCCCGCCTACATTCCCCCGAGCCTCGGAGGCCAGCCGGGCCAGACCCCTCCCCCGCAGCTCAACGTCGTTATACAGATTGTCGGCTCACGAGGCGACGTCCAGCCCTTTGTCGCCCTCGGCAAGGTGCTGAAAGATACCTACGGTCACCGCGTGCGAATAGCCACGCACGCGACGTTTCAAAAGTTTGTTGAGGAGAATGGGCTCGAGTTCTTCTGCATCGGCGGCGATCCCGCCGAGCTCATGGCCTTCATGGTCAAGAACCCTGGTCTTATGCCCGGCTTCGACACACTCAAGAGCGGAGAGGTTAGCAAGCGCCGCAGAGGCATCCAAGATATTCTTCTCGGATGCTGGCGCTCTTGTATCGAGGCGGGCAACGGGTTAGGTCCGCCACCGAAACCGCATGCCAAGGACCAGCCGCTGGACGAGCACTATGGGATACCTGGGGACCCGACACAGAAGCCCTTTGTGGCTGATGCCATCATTGCGAACCCGCCGAGTTTTGCGCATATTCACATAGCGGAGAAGATGGGAATTCCGTTGCACCTGATGTTCACCATGCCGTGGACGCCTACGCGCGCCTTTCCTCATCCGCTAGCCAACATTCAGTCGACGAACACAGACACGGTCATGACCAACTATGTTTCCTACGCCTTGGTTGAAATGATGACATGGCAGGGCCTCGGCGACGTTATCAATCGATTCAGAGACAAGGCGCTGGATCTGGAGCCCATGTCGCTGATTTGGGCCCCGGGTGTATTGACGAGATTAAGGATCCCCTACACGTATTGCTGGTCTCCGGCACTGATTCCCAAGCCGAACGACTGGGGTCGTGAGATCGATATTTCAGGATTCTACTTTTTGAACCTGGCCTCGGCGTTTACCCCAGAACCTGATCTAGCTGCGTTCTTGGCTGCTGGGCCTCCTCCCGTCTACATCGGGTTTGGCTCTATCGTGGTTGACGACCCAAATGCTTTGACCAGGATGATTTTCGACGCTGTTCACCAGACTGGTGCACGCGCGCTGGTCTCCAAGGGCTGGGGCGGTCTAGGCGCGGAAGATGTTGGGCTTCCAGATGGGGTCTTCATGCTGGGCAATGTACCCCACGACTGGTTGTTCAAGCATGTGTCAGCTGTCTGCCATCACGGTGGCGCAGGAACAACTGCCGCAGGTATCCAGGCAGGCAAGCCCACCATCATTGTGCCGTTCTTTGGTGACCAGCCGTTCTGGGGAGCCATGGTCTCGAGGGCGGGTGCTGGTCCGGATCCCATTCCTTACAAGGAGCTCACGGGAGACAAGCTCGCGGAAGCCATCAAGTTTGCGATTAAGCCCGAAACCCAGGCCAGAGCCCAGGAGCTTGGCCACAAGATTCGCGAGGAGAAGGGTACTGATTTGGGTGGTAAGAGCTTCCACGACCACTTGGATACCGACGAACTTAGGTGCTCTATTGAGCCCAGTCGGGCGGCTGCTTGGCGTGTAAGGAGGACGAAGGTCCGTTTAAGCCCCATGGCTGCCGCGGTCCTGGTAGAAAGGGGCCTGATCAAGTATTCTGATCTTAAGCTGTGAGTATTCATGCCCCTCCAGTTACTCCATACGAAGTGATAACTAATACCTCACAGCTACCGGCCAAAGGAGTACATTACGGAGGGCCAGCCGTGGGATCCTATCTCCGCAGTCTCAACATCGCTCGTCGCAGATATTAGCAGTATCGGTATGGCTGTGGCCGATTTCCCCAGAGAGCTGTTCAAGAGTCGAAGCAAAGAAGACAAGACGCCTGAGACTTCTACGCCTTCTCTCACGGAAGCCTCCTCAAGCAAGCAATCTCTACATCAGAGTGATAAGGCATCGATTGCGGCTCCAAGCACGCACGCATCGGAGTCTTCGACACAGCTGGGCCTCATGGAAATGGAGGGCTCTACCCCGACGCTGCCGCAATCTCCACAGCCAGACACAGCATCTTTAGCACAGTCTCAGACGGCCTCCACTGCTCCTTCTATGGTTTTCAGCCCTCCTGATGGTGCGTCGATTGCTCGTAGCGAAACTACTCCATCAGAACATGCGTCAACGACTCAATCAGTAAGACCGTCCAACAGTCCGGCGAAAAGGTCGTTCAAAGAATCGATGCCTGCAAACGTGGGTGTCGATGCTGCCGTAGCAGCTGGAACTAGCGTTAGTCGCATCGTTACTACCGGTGTGAAGACACCAATGAACGTGTGTCTCGGCTTGGCAAGGGGTTTCCGGAATGCCCCTCGACTGTACAACGATGACACTGTCCGGCCGCCCGAGAAGGTGACGGACTTGGCAAGCGGTATCAGAATAGCTGCCAAGGAATTCGGCTACGGCATGTTTGACGGCATCGGTGGACTCGTCACTCAGCCGCTGAAGGGCGCTGAGAAGGAAGGTGGGATAGGTCTCATCAAGGGCTTTGGCAAGGGCATTGGAGGCTTGATCCTCAAGCCCGCATCTGGTGAGTTGAATCCGTGCCATAGTAAGACTGACTGTTGCTAATTGATACAGCTGTATGGTCCGTCCCGGCGTACACCATGCAAGGTGTCCATGCGACTCTCCGGAACGCCTTTTCTAGCAGTGTCCAGAACTACATCATTGCGTCTCGCATGAAGCAGGGACAAATGGACATGGACAGTGCCAGCGTCGCGGAACGCGAAGACGTCGTTGTGCGTTGGAATAATGTCAAGTTTGATCTAAAGAACTTCCAGGCCATGAAGTTGAAGGAACAGCGAGAGAAGCAGAGGGCTGAAGGCGAAGGACCCTACGGACAACCCGAAAAGAGTCTCACAGCCCCGGTCACGGGCTGGGCCCACACGAGAAAATTGTCCTTTGAGGAAAGGAAACAGCTTCATGCTCGGAAAGAGGCATGGAAAAAGGGTCATGTCGAGGCTATTGTCCCTGCCTCGAGGTCGGATTTGTCGCTCTCGGAGCCTAGCTCAATGAGTGCTGCCGAGGACGAAGAATTTGAGCGCGCCATCCGCGTATCCGTCGCAGAAACGTCGCGCGGCAACGCCGAAGAAGACGCTGCGGTCGAGCAGGCTATCCGCACAAGTGTCAATCACTTCCGCAGCTCCGGAGTTCCTGACATACGGGCCGAGAAGGCCGCGCCCCTCGATAGAGACGCTAAGAACCAGGACCAGGACCCGTTCTCAAGCGCCGAGCTGGAGATCACGGACGAGGAGTACCAGCGGCTCATTGAGGAGGCCATCAACCAGAGCATGTCTCTCAAAGCCGCCGGGGTACAGCCAGGCGAGGGATCGCACGGCGACGATGAAGAATTCCACCGCGCCCTCGAGCAGTCCAAGATTGCCCAGCAGCAACCCCCCGCACACGAAGACGACGAGGAGCTGCAGCGGATCCTGGAGGAGTCCAAGAGGCAGCACGCAGAGGGCAACACAAATGAGGAGGAGGAACTGCGCAAGGCGATTGAGGCGTCGGAAGCCGCGCACAGGGAGCAGCAGAACAAGGACGCCGCGGCGCGGACAGAGGAGGATGTCGTGATGGAGTATGTCAAGAAGCAGAGCCTTGCCGAGGAGGAGTTCCGGCGAAATGCGTCAAAGGGTAAGGGACGCGATGTTGCGGCGGACGTTGATGAGGATGAGGATGAGGAGCTGAGGAGGGCGATGGAGGAGAGTTTGAAGATGAGTGGACGGCCGGGAGGGTCGAGCTCCTACCAGTGATCTTTTGGGTTTACTTGCTTTTCTCCTTCTTTTCCTTCTTTGCAATGATGGGTTTGAGGGGATAGATAGATGGCACAGCACATTCGAGATACCATTTCAATTTTCCCGAGTATAATCCGATTCTCATATTCTCTATTAATTACCACGTGTCCCACACGGAGAAGCCAAGCGGGGCGGTTCTCGAACCCGGGACATCGCCTAACTAGGAAACCGAGGTCCTCAACGATAGGGCATGATTGGCTGGATGACTGGCAAGGCACGGCCATAATGAGATGAAGACAAGCGAACATCGGATCACACTCACTGGACGTTACTTGGTTCCAAAGAAGTATAACAACTAATAGGTGTATTGGTCCTCGAGTCAGTCTCCACCCCATAGAGCTGGCTGATGATATGTAGTCTCCCTATGATACAATTCTCTACACAAACTTGCAAGGCAAGTATGATTACCGTCCTCTTCCTGTCCTCTACTTTCGTTCGTAATTTTCTTCCGGCCGAGTAGGAGCTCAATTGCAAAAGAGCAATTGTATAGCCCGAATGTCGTATTATCCTTTTCAAACTTGCATTACATCGTGTTCCTTTTGCCCTTACGTTTAGTGCAATTTCTCCTTCAAATAGATCACTGCTGCATATCCTGCGCAACAGTTTGTCGTCATTCCGTGAGCGCACCAGGGGCACTTCACCGTCGTAGAAATAAGTCCGCTGACTCCCAGCTTCCGGTCCTCCACCATGCTATCAGGTTTTGCCATGCACTCGTAGACTTTGCTCGGCATGTCGTGCAAGAACTTGCAACTACAGCATTCCACAAGCATCTTGGCAACTGGCTCAGGAACGCCATTGGGAGGCACAATGGACGCACGTGAGACGCGGCTGGAGCGCGGTGGCGGCATTGACTTGCGGGCTTCTTCGAGGTAACTTGAGGGATTCGAAGGTCCCTTGGTGGACACAATCGATTTCCTGGAAGCTACGTCCGCAGGGAACGAAGACTGTGAGGCTGCTTTCGCGTGCAAATTAGTCACAGAGCCACGCTTTGATGAGCGGGGTGGCGGTGGCGGAACAAGAGACCGGGGCACGAGAGGTTGATGCTTGAGCTTCGGAAGGAAACTCGTGTCAAGTGCGAGGTCAGGACTCGAGCGGCTCTTAGTCAAGCTCGGATGACGCTGGACGACGCTATGGACTTCCTCTTGTACCGGCTCAATGTTGTTGCCAATCTCCTGAGCGTGCGCATTCTTCCCATAATCGTATGGACTCGTCAAAGAGGCAGATGTAAGTGGGGTTGCCATTGCGGATGTCTTCGAGCTGTCGGTGTGTGTTGGAGTGGGATAGCTCTGCGACGAGTCGCTGTCCTCGGCATCAGCAACGCTAGCCTTTCTACCAAACTTCTCCGTCACCAACGCTTCGAGCTCGTTGAGATGAGCCTCATGATTTTGGACCGGGATTTGGGGGGGCAGGCTGATCCGTTGATTGGTGGCAATTGGAGAGGCCGTCTGCATCGCTGCCTTGTGAGAAAGCCTATACGACCGTGTGTCGTTCGTAACAACCACGGTCTCGATATCGACCCGGCCAAGTTCTCCATCTAAAGGCGGCAACCCTTTTTCGGATTGCGGCCTTGAAGAATCAGGAGTGGTGGCGGGTGACGGAGAAGGCAGGGACTCATCGCATGAAGACATTGAAGACCTGTGTGTCGGGCGTGCTGATGAGTCTCTCGAGGTCGATTCAGTAGACTCGGCAAACGGACGTGGCGGGGCTGTGAAAGGTGATGGATCGTCGGTTGAGTACCTAGAGCTTGACGTTGAGTCGGGTGTCATGGTAGTATCGCGCGCTGCCCTGGCGAAATAATTGGAGACAGGCGGCTTGGATGATCCCGGAGTCGACACTTTCTGGAATGCGGCTTTGGCGGCATCCTTGAAACTTCTGATGGCTGCTCCAGGGGTAGCCGGATGCCTCTCACGCGATGCCGATATTTCGGGAGGCAGAGGTATCTCTTTAGACATCATTCTAGACATGGGAGGTCCCTGAGACGTAGACCGATCAAATGATTGCTGTCCCGGACTGCCTGCTGGCGGTGTGTATGGAAGCCGGAATGTGAGTGTGAAATCTTCAACCGGGGTTGACTGGTCTTTGTAGCCGCCGAGGCTAGAGAGTGATCCATTGCGTGGAGGGAAGTTGGAACCCATTGGACTGCTCTCTGAAGAAGAAGAGTACGCTCGAGATTGAAGTGGGCGATTGGAAGCCGGAGGATAGTGAGACTTGGCAGACGAGACGCGAACTTCGTCTCTGTAGCCGTTGATGGACCGTTCTCTGCTTTGTTGGCGAGACTGGTGAACGTAACTCTCTCTTCTTCGTCCTCGCTCTTGCTCAACCACAACCTCGCTAAGTCCGTTGTGGATCTCCAACTGATCGTCTTCGGCAGGCGCTTGTGATTGCTTCGTGCCGTTCATCCATTGTTGAAAATTGCTCACATCTGGTACAGGCGGTGCTGTGGGCGAGACTAAGGGCTGAGACCAAGAAAAGGTGTTGGTAGAAGCGGATCGTGGGGTCTTGGGCCCGTATGAGTCTTCGTCGTATTCATCAGGTCGCTCTCCTTGCGGGTCGAATGAGAATGAACGCGGCAACGCTGAAGGCGTCATTACTGGCGGTGTTACCCTAACTTCAGGCCCAAATGAGTGAGACCTCTGACCAGTAAGGAAAGCTGGCGGATTAGGTTTTCTGAAGGGCATGCCGGCGTCATTCTGTCTTTTCTGCTCCAGCTTCAAGCCGCCAATGAAGCCTTGGTCATCGTTGTTATGAGACTGATTATGGGTCTTGTGGCCGGTCAAAGCAGCTTTCAGCTGCATGGCTACCGAGTCTGACCGTTGTCTGGCATGCTGAGGACGGATTGAAGGTGGTGGCTCATAGAAGGCCTGGGCGCTGGCTGACCGAAGATGCTCGTTGACGAACACGGTTGGGCTAGAGATTGACCTCGATGCATTTGGAGGTCTCGGCGGGGAAGCTTTGTTGTTCGGTCCAGCTTTGCTGAGCTTGGCTGCCAACTTCTTCTTCACAGATTTGGCCTCCTTCTCGGCTTGCTTCTCGGCCTGTTCCTTTTCCTTCTTGCGCATCTTAGCTTCGCTTTTCTTTTCCTTCTTCTTGTTCTGACCAAAAGATTCCCAGCTTGGTGAGTGGCAGATCGAGGAGGCGTCGTCGGCAGTTGGTTCGTCGACCATATCGACGTCGAGGAAGGTCACCGTCTTGTGCTTGTGCTCCACCGATTCCTTGCGCTCCGACCCGCGATCGATCTCAGACTTGACGTTCGAGGGTGGTGGAACGGAAATGGAAAGAGAGGGCAACGCTGTTGCTCGGCGGACCGCTTTCATAGCAGAAGGTGGTAGCTCCGGTTTCTGTGTGGGAAGTTGAGCTGACGACTCCCTCCGGCGAGACTGGAGAGGAGCTATAGGCTTCACAGGCGGAGCGGGATGAACAGTAGGGAAAGGTTTCAGTTTCGGAGGAGACTGGGCAGGTCGGCCATGATTAAGCTGTTGCTGAAGAACCTGCTGAAACGCCAGGTGAGAGGGATGGGTCGCCGCAGGCATGGACTGATGCCCCTGAAGACGCTCGAGCTACAAGATGAAGCGTGTTAGTGGGTGGGAGCTAACATAGCCAAATTGGGTGTGGATGCTACGTGGTAGGAAGCGTCAGGTTAGGGTGGGATCGGCCTACCTTCCGAATGTGTTCCAGCTCTAGCATCTTCTGAAGGCTGTCAGACCGGCCGCGTTGCGGCTTGGTCGACTCGCGTTGAGCGCCCGTTGCAGTCATTCTTGGGTATCTTGTCGTGCTTGTCTCGAGGCGTGTTTGGAGGTGGATTGTCGTAAGTGGAGTCGTGGCGTCAAAAGTGGGAGAGGATAGCCAGCTAGTTAGTGTTGGAAAGAAGATGAGGCGTTGCTAATGGAGACGTTTCTGCGTTGTCATTTCTTCGTGACGCTGGTATGGCGTTTGCTAATACTGAAAGACTAAAAAGGTGATGTAATGAACAGTTTGTCGAAAGGTAATTGCGACCGAAAACCCCCAGGGCGCGGCGGTGAATTGGTGTTGTAAAGATGTTGTCGCGCGGTTTGAGGCGGGGCCCAGAAAAAAGACGGTGAAAGACGGGCGCGTATCCGTAAAAGTTGAGACGGAAGAATCAACAGACGGTCGAATTAGGTATTGAAGAGGCCAAGGCCAACGAGAGAAAGTGCGACAAAGTAACGTTGTCGTCGTGAAACCAAGGAAAAGCGGAAAATTCGAAATGTCCAGCGAGGGGCAGTTACAGTTACGAAAGGGGAATTCTAGAGGAAAGAGCAGGGTAGGGTTGATATTTGGGAAGGAGGCCGGGGTTCGCTGAGACTAAGAGGGGTTCTCGAATGCGGGATGCTGGTCCCGATGCTGATGCTGGAAAGAGACGGGAAAAAGGAATACCTAGAAGGAACTGTAGATCGGGATAAGCTGGATCCTAGTCATCGGAGGCACCTTATGCAGACTGCAGACCTGGAGCTTGTTTACAACACCTCAAGCACCTTGACCTATCTGAGAGGGCAAGACCACCGAGATGGCAACGACACCACAGACGTTTAGCAACCACCTTGAACTATTGAGAACCCGGGCACATAGCAAGTGAAGTCAAATCATGGTCAGATTCTATCAGGTCTCGTCTGCACAACAGCCGGGAAGGGCCAAGGCCATTGAGCGGGACACGGACTGGCGGAATAAGATGACTACCATGGGGATGCCTTCTCAATGGGCAATTGGCACGAGCGTGAGGTAGCCATCGCGCATGTTAGCTACCTAGGTAAGCCGTTCCCATCCATCCGACAGCGTGCAGACCACACCAGACGGCTTACCCCATAGAGGTCAGGGCAACGTGAGATGGGATGGTGATCAGCCCTTTACCGTCCCAGAGCACGTCTGAGTTGAGGATCGGGAGCGAGAACAGGTGCAGCAGGGCAGAGGTCCCGGCACAGGTTCAGCTGGACAGTAGAAAAGCT